TTTGTAGGCATTATGTATTATGTGTAATTGGATATACTACAGGAGATGAGGACGGAATTTTTTAACTATGTGCATTTATAATGGTATTATATATATATTTATCTCAAAATAAAATTGTCTTCGGTATCTAGTTTTGTTCTTTTTTTAATGATTTTTTGCTTGATTTCAGTTTTATTCCATTAGGATGCACCAAAAGCTTTATTTAAACAAATTTCTTGAATCGTCATTTATTCCTTTCACCATCATTCTGAGAGCGCAGAATTGATCGAAAGAAACAGGAATGTGTGTTATAGCACCACTATTTACTTACTAAACATTCCTTTTCGCGATTGAGAATGTAAAGAAAACATTTTATTTTAAGCTAACCATACATTGGTAGATTTTCTTTTAGGCATTCATACGAAAAAGCATGTCGAAATATTCAGTAATGCCACTCCAAATAATTTTGGAAATGATTGCAGTTTCTTAAAGGAAAACCACATTTACTGTTGGAATTTTCTTTGTTCAAGAAGCTTTTCCGTCCTGCTCCTTTAAACAAAACGTTTTCAGCACACTAGGCTCAAAAGGTTTCCTTCCCCTTATCTATATCTATACAGTTCAAAAACTTTCATTATGATATTTACAGGTATGACTTTAGATTTTGCTACTTACAGGTAACTTACTATGTGACGATTTCATTGAGAAACATTGCAACTAATCTCTCCCTACTTGGAAGGTTGTAGACTTCACAGTTAATGCAATGTGAAATACTAAAGCCTCATTCACACTGATGAGATCCGTGCGGCGTGCACGGTCGTATCGGGCCACTCTTGGAAAGGACAGGTGGTGCATGTGATTGCACGCAACAGCTTGTTCTTCTCTATGGGAGTACGCGGCCATACGCTCACCCGAGCTGCACATCCGTCCGGGTGTCCGTACTCGTACACAGACAGGATGGATCCTGTCTGCTTCGGAGCACGGACAACTGCACGGATGTGCAGTTCAGAGGAGTGTATGGAGGCTAACGGCCGCAAACTCCCATAGAGAAGAACAAGCTGCTGCGTACTAATCACATGCAGCACCTGTCCTTCCCGGGAGCGGCCCGATACGGCCATGCACGCAGCACAGATCTGTACGGGCCGGCTCTTATAAATGTGAATGAGGCCTAAGGGGTATACGCCGCTGTACGCTCACCTCAGCTGCACATCCGCGTGGGTGCGGGTGTCCGTACTCGTACACAGACAGGATGGATCCTGTCTGCTTCCGAGCAAGGACACCCGCACCTGCACGGATGTGCAGTTCGGATGAGCGTACAGAGGCTAACGGCCGCATACTCTCATTGAGAAGAACAAGCTGCTGCGTACTAATCAGACGCAGCACCTGTCCTTCCCGGGAGCGGCCCGATATGGCCATGCACTCAGCACAGATCTGTACGGGCCGGCTCTTATAAAAGTGAATGAGGCCTAAGGGGTGTACTTATAAACAGTTCGCAGAGCCATTTGTCCTGCGAAAGTCTCACATTAACGTTCTCCCTGCATTTGGGCCGGTCAGCCCTTTTAGTGGCCATAATGCAAGCAGAATGTAATGTGAGACTTTTGCAGAATGAGTGAACGAACATCTATGTACATGAATAGTCTCTTTATGCAAGTCAATATACCACCAAGTACAGTGGCCCTCTAAGTGCAAATGTAAACTAATTTAAAAGTGCTGGAAAGCTTACAACATAGGAACCAGAAACAAAAACTATTCCAGTGTACATTTCATTTTGTTCCACTGTATTCTAAAGATGCCTATAAAGAAGAAAATATCCGTACCATCTGTGCTACTTCTACTACTGAACGGCAGATTTCATTTAGTTGTCTTTCTTTCCCTACAAAGTACACTGGTAATGGTGCTTTTATTAGATACTTTGGAGGAAATGGAACTTTGTTGTGAACTGTTCCAACAAACCATCATTTAAACAGAAGAGTGAAAGCTGTAAACTGTCCTAATGGCGAACAATAATATTTTTATTTTTAGTAAGTGGCAAATGTAGGATGTTAGCCGGCGATAGAATGGTAAGGATGATTGCAAGGTATCAAAGCTCATGCAAGCTCAAATGTTGCAGCTGATCATTCTAGTATCATTTGTACATATTGTATACAGATCAATATCATAAAACTGTGACTAGTTTTGATTTTTCAGGCTAAGAACAGTTTTAACAAGTGCAGAAAATACTTGCTGAGCTTCCAAGAGTCCGTATCACTATCTGGGAGATGAATTGGGAGCATCAAAAAATGGTCTGCCTGTTGTAAACTGCAAATCTCCCTATCCCCCATATAATGGATATGAATAAATGTAGACATGCTTGAAGTCCAGTCTAGGTGGAAACCAAGGCTTCCTCCATAGAGTGGAGGAGGAAGTGTAGCCACACTGATTCCTCTGCATAGGAAGAGGTTTTCCCTAGAATTTCTGCATCTTCTGTGAAAATAGGGGAGACAGATTCACCTCAATCTGCTAGTGATGACAAAACCTCTTTGTCTACTTTTCACAAGAGAAAGAACTAGTCTCTGCACTTATTCGTTTGGTTCACAAGACTCTTCAGACTGAAGATTCTATGGATGCTTCTTCAGAAGCTCTTGTTTTGGAAGTCACATTACACAGGTTGTGTAGAGTGGTCCTAACTCTAATCTATGGGAGACTCCATCGTGGATCATATATAGCAAAGGATGACTTCGGCAAACGTTCGCCAGGAGGCAGCCCATTCCTCCATAAAGGCACAGGGACACCCCAGAAGCCCAGCACATCACAATGGCAGCTGAGGCACCCCAGTGTGTCCCAGCTCCAAATCCAACAAGTGAAACAATCCTCCTATTGTAGATGCATCATTGTCAAGGCTGAATAATGCTTCTGTGACTCCGGTTAAGGAATCTCCTCCTTTCGAATGTTTAAAGGAGAACTATGGGGTCAGGGCTTTTCCCCATAGTTCTCCTTAGGGTAACGGGAGGACACAAACTAGCATCCTCCCATCACCCTAAGCTCAGTATACCGCGAGCTACAGCTTGCGGTATACTGAGACGCCACAGCCGGAGCAGATCCCGACATCGATATCGGGATCCGCCCAGCTGCGTGAGTGACAGCTGGCTCTGCCTATCTAGAGGCAGAGCCAGCTGTACCCGCCCCCGTCTGATCCGCCAGTCAGCGCTGGTGGATCGGAGCGGGGAGGGGGGAATCCAGCCAGTCCCTCCCCTGTCACGACAGAGAGCCGTGACAGGATCGAGAGGTGAGTGAACGCCGGTATATGTTCGCTCACCTCCCGATCTACTGAGCCGACCTGTGACAGTCTCATTGTCACAGGTCAGCTAGAACTATGAGGTGAGTGAAAAGCACTCACCTCATAGTTCTCCTTTAACAGACAGGAAAGTGTAATCAGTAGTGAGATAAATGTACACAGTTGCTGGATCAGCCATACGTCCTGTTTTGGCCACAGCCCTTGTGGCCAAACACTCACAGAATGGGCAAAACTTTTGTATCAAGAACTGGAGAGTGAACATGTTTCTCCTGTCTATGTGAAACTGGCGGATCAATTAATTCATGGTTTTCAATATGTGTGTAACGCTTTGCTGGATACTGGATGTCTCATTTCCAGAATTTCTGTTTCGGCTATCATTTTTCGTTGTATGTTGTGACTTAAATGCTGGTCCGCTGACCAGACTTTTAAGAAAGCCATTACAGATTTACCCTATAAGGGTGATTGTTTGCTTGGGGCAACACTGGATGATATGATAAAAAAATATCAGGGGAGATAAGAGTACATTTTTACCACAGCTTAAGAAAGGTAAGGAACCTAGGCGTAAGCAAGGCCCTTCTTTTTCAGCTCACAAACATATTTATTCTCCCCAAGGATCCTCATATAAAAGTCAAAAGTCTGATAGGTCCAGCTTCTCCAGTAGTCAGAAGAGGTCTTCTGACCATTATTCCTCATTTTCAAGGACTCCATAATGACTAGCCTAGCCTCACTGCAAGGGTTATGATTAAAGGCTGACGCCCCCTCCCCTAATGTTTCTGAAAGCTCTGCGCGGGTCAAGATTTTTAACGGGTCCAGGATTCTACCAGAACTCCGTCTTGGAGGATCAGTTGAGTATAACTTTATTTTCCTCTGTAGACCAAAACAAGCAGTTAACCCTTGCAATGCGGGGGTAGCCTCACTGCAAGGGTTAAGATTAAAGGGTTTCTAAACCCTCAGCTTTTTTGCATATATCTACTGCTACCAAGCAGTAGATATATGCAAAAAGTTAAAAAAACAAAAACGCTTTAACAGTGGTTTAAACTTACCTGTGTCTTCCCTGCGCGCTCCCATTCGAAATTGTGAAAATTCTCGGGCGGGCGCATGCGCAGTTCACATTTTCAGCCGCGACGCAAGGAGGGACGCAAGGTAAGTGTCTGTACGCGTGCACCCGCATGCAGACACCGTCGGACAGGAAGTGCCAGCAAGCCCAGAGGAGTAAGCGCTGGATCGGACACCACCGCAGCGCTGGAGAGAAAGGCTGACAACATCAGGAAAGAAGAAGATCGGATTAAGAGACATCATTTAAGGTAAGTGCTTTAAATAACGTTGGGGTCAGGGGAAAAAAAAAGTTGCCTTTAATGTCCTGCTTTTAATAGTAATGGTGCACCTAAAAAAACATTTCCAGGACCCCTGTGCAAGCCAACCCACAGCTTATGAAACCTTCTGCTTACTAATGGAATTCCAATCCAACAGTGCATGAAAAAGTATTTTGGTGAGGCCATGAAGCCAAATACATGGCCCAGCAATTCAGTGTGTGTTTAGTGTCCATCATCCGCCCATCTTGTACGGAAGGTGAAGGCTGAGCTATCTCCTCTATTCCCGCTGAGCTGTTTCCGTTCGGTCACATGACCTCCGCCGAACTCAGGACGGATGATTAGATGCAGCGCTGAGTGTATAGGAGAGGGCAGGTCCGCTCACTGATGGGCTGCGAGCTGCACTCCTCATTCAAAGGCACACACGTTTCCGTTCAATAATGTCTGACAGAGAAGGAAAAGCCAGCGGAGACTTCGGGAAGAGTGGGAATAGCGGAGCGGAGGAATGCAGTGTGCAAGCGGAAGGACCTAATGAGGTATGGCTGTGATTAGAGCACTGGATAAACCTTGCTATCAGTAGAAGATGGGGTGCTGTGTGTCCTAAACCATGTGCCCAACAGATGACTCCAATTATCCCCCTCCAACCGCCCTCCCTCCTCCAGCCCCCGCACACATGAACTCTGGGACTGGAGAGAGTTTGATCCATAGTGTAGGAGGCAGAATCTGACACTTCTTTAAAAAAACATTTCTCTTCTGCTTTGATAATTTCAGTACTTTCCATTGTCAGTGTTTATAAATACACACATCTTAGGGCTGGTGCAGACCTGAGTGATCTGGAACGGGATTGCGCGATCGTGCACAATTGCAGACAGCGATTGCAGCGCAGCCCCATTGATATCAATGGGGTACATCCGTGTGGCAATTGCAGAAAAAAGGTACATGTACCTTCTTTTTTTTGTCAATACATGCCGCGCGTCTTTTTTAGCTGTTCGGTTGCACAGGAGGAATCATAGCGGTAAACCGTGCAATCCGTCTTGCACGACTGGGGTGCGATTAGAAAATAATGGCACCCACAGCGTGATTGTCGGTGATGGGCAACTCTGTGACCGTGCGGTATCGTGCGCGATTGCTGCGCGGTCATGGATCGCCCAGGTGTGCACCGGCCCTTAGGCTCTATTCACACATGAGTGGATATGTGCGGAAATGCGCTAAACATAAAAAACAATGCATTCCAATGTGCATTGTTCAGACTATTGCGACGCCCGTGTGGTACGAAAAATAGTCCAATTGCGATTTTAGGGGCAGATTCCTGCACGTCTGCGGCTATAGTAATAGTGGCAAATGTGCAGAATCTGCTCGTATGTAAAAAAAATAGCGCATTTTCGTGCCACGCAGAAAACACAAATGCCATATGTGAATGGAGCCTTACCGGCACTATGACCGCTTAATGGGTAAGTTAATTTTCCCAAATAATTTAGGGAAATGGCAGCACAGTGGCGTAGTGGTTAGCGTTCTGCCTTGTAGCCCTGGGGGTCCCTGGTTTGAATCTCTGGCCAGGTCACTATCTGCATGAAGTTTGCATGTTCTCCCTGTACTGTTTGGGCTTCCCCCGGGTACTCCGGTTTCCTCCCACACTCCTGGTAGGTTCATTGGCTCCTGTGCAAATTGGCCCTGTATGTGTGCATGTGAGATAGGGACCTAAAGGTTCCTATACACTCTTTGATTCTTGTTCGGAAATCTTCCACGAATGGTCTTTCGAACAATAATCGAACAGTTGATGGGACAGTTGATCAATTATTGCTCTCACTGCGACGTTCGCGGCGATATGTAACATGTGCGGCATAATGGGCGCAATATTGCTATCAGATAGGGGGCTAAGAAACCCCCTTATGTGATAGCAAAAGAAGTGACAGGTCCTCCTTTATGGAGACATCGGGGGTCCCCAAGACACCTAATGTCACCTAGGACCCCCCTGAAGAAGCTGATGAAGCACAGATCTGCTTTATCAGCTTCTCTCCAGCGTCTGAAGCTGGAGAGTGACACGAGAATGCGGAAGTGATGTAATATACATCACTTCTGCATTTTGACACCGGAGAGGGGACCGGAGGGAGATTGTGTACCGACCTCCCTCTGATTCCCTGTCAGAGAAGCACTATGCTGGTCCCGGGCTCAGCGACGGCGTTTCACTGTTACATCCAGGAAGTATATGTACAACGGCCGGCCGGGAAGCAGTTAAAGGAGAATTATGAGGCGAGTGATTTTCACTCATCCTCATAATCTGAGCTGACCTGTGACAATGAAGTTGTCACAGGTCAGCTCAGTAGATCGGGAAGTGAGCGAACACATACCGGCTCACTTCTCAATCTATCCGTGCAGAGAGCTGTGACTGTCACTCACGGCTCCCTGCAGAGATTCCCCCCTCCCCTGTCCGATCCTCCAGCGCTGACTGGCGATACGGACGGGGGAGGGGGCGGGACTGGCACAGCTGGCTCTGCCTCTGGATAGGCAGAGCCAGCTGTCAATCCCGCAGCTGGGTGGATCCAGACAGTATTGTCGGGATCCGTCCCGGCTGCGGCGTCTCAGTATACGGCGAGCTGTAGCTCGCGGTATACGGAGCTTTGGGTCACGGGGGAATGCTAGTTTGTGTTCTCCCATGACCCTTAGGAGAACTATGCTGAAAAGCCCTGACCCCTTAGTTCTCCTTTTAAGATGGCCATACACTTTACAACCATCGCACGACTTTCGTTGTGCGATGGTTGTAAGGTCATTTAAATTTTGTAGGACCTGCCCATCTTGGACAGGCAGATCGTACTTGCGCACACCGGCCCGTGCGGCTTTCGTCTTCCGAGCATGCTACCAACCCGCCTAAAATCGTACGATTTTCGGCGGGTTTTCCAGCGTGCTAGGAAGACGAAAGTAGATGCGGTCGCACGCTGTCCATACACCTGCCGATTATCGTACGGCAGGTGTATGGGCACCTTTAGATTGTAAGCTGCTTCAGACCAGGGACTCATGTGCACGTGTTCTGTGTAAAATTGTCGGCGCTATATAAATACCAATAATAAATAATTAACTGCTCAAAGCTGTCCCCCTCTCCCCTTTTTTCAGCACAACGTAACGGAATGGAGCCGTGTGAACTAGCCCCATTCACATTCCATTTTCTGTGCCCTTCTATTAGCATCCATTGAAAAACCTCGCAACGCAATGGATCCAGTGTTAATGGGGTCAAATTGACAATCTTTTTCCATTCTAATGCAAAAAAAAAAATGAAAGGAGCGGGAAGGAAAAGTTTTCACGTGCTTTTGTGACCCCATAGCCCTGTCGATAGAAAAGCCTGAAAAGGTGCCAAGCTCTCCCATTAAAGTCTATGAAACAAATACGCTTGATTCTTCCTGAAAATGAGCTATGAGAACAGGGGCCATTGAAAACCTTGTCATTCCTCTTGTTGAGTGTTGCAGCACTTAGGCAATCAAACAGCAAAACACCTAGGTGTGCTTTGTGTGTTTCTTTCAGAACTGTGCAGTAATCCACTTTGCCTCTGGGCAGGAGCTTATTGTAATAGAGACAAGTAACTGCTGCGCTCTCTCCTTCTGCATGGTGACTGGTCTTGTATCCGCCCCCCTCCTGTAGTTTACTGCAGGCAGCCTGTAGTGGGTGGGGCCTGCTGAGTCCCCCCCACAGCTCTGCTCTGTGTACAGCACAGTGATATCACTGCTACTTTAATATAATATCTGGGTTTGCAAAGGCATTTGTTAGACACAAATTGAAGTGATATCATTTGTGGCTATTTAGGAATATATTTAAATGAAAGGTTTTGTGTGTGAAGTTTAACTTTAAGAACGTATGTACCAGGGTCCTGCTACCCTTACCGGGTATCCCAATCGTTGTAATTTCAAGCCTGATGAAGGGGATCCTGTGTGGCCCTGATACGTTGTGATTTGTTATGGCAGTATGCTCCGATAGATAGACGCTTGTTTCACTTTACTTGTGCTGGTGACATCCCTTACACGTTTAGCTTTAATTCTCTATATTCATCCTCTGCATCACATAAATAAAAAGTACAAGCTTTTGGAAAAATAAGTGGCAGAGTACAAAAATATATAGAAACACAGACAGGAAAGAAGTGTTCCATTGAGCCTGCCTCCCTTCTTTTTTTTTTTTTAAATACAGATCTCTGTTTGTCCCAAGCATGTTTTGGATTCACTTTCTGGCTTACTCACTACCTCTGTGGGAAGTTTATCCTAAGCATCAACTACTCTTTTTGTGATATATATATTTAATATACAGATTCTGTATATAAAACATTTCAATGAACTTATGCTCTCATATTGTTCTCTGCAGTACTTTATATAACAATAGCATTTCTGTATAAAGTACTGCTGAGATTTGTAGTCCTCAGCAGGCGATTGGTTGTAAGTCATACAGCAATCGCCTGCTGTTAAAAGCGGTACCAAGAGCAGCCGTGTTCTTGTTTTAACCACTTCTGCGGGCCACCGTCTATAGACGTACTGCGGCCTGGAAGTGGTTAAAGTGACATTAAAGTAAAAAATGTTTATCTCTCCACCCAATGTTAATGTTAGCACTTACCTTCACTGATGTCTCTTAATCCGATGACCCCCCCAGAGCCTGAGGCCCCGGGCGCCCGCACCGCCTGCACCGGCGGTAGTTCCGCAACTGGTTCTCTGCCATTCAGCTATTTCAGCTTTTGGCCCGTCAGGTGATACTTAAGATGAATCTAGGGGTTTATTTATACATTTCCTGTGATTTGAAAGTTCTTTAGAATATTAAAGCTGAATCTCACTGACAGTGTGAATTGGGGCAGTGGTCACATTGTAAACCATCACCTTGTAAGATTTCGATGAGGAACGGAATTACTGTTAAATTATAATGAAGTTGGTAAACATTTACAGGTTTTAGAATGCCAATGGTGTAATTTTCAGCTCAGGATCTGTTTATAGAGATTGTGCTGACCTTATGACTGCTCAGATGACGGTGCGTGAAAAGGGCATTTAGCACCGATACTTTCTTTGCTTGGAATGTAAAATTCAGGTTATTTTTGCAGAAGTAAAACATTATCTATACTGTCCTATAAAGCAGATAAAAGAACCCTTCATGCACCCCTAGAATTTCTAAAGTTCCTGAAAAGCAAACTTCACCCCTAGAATAAAGGTGTTTCCATTGGCACCAGCGCAAATCGCATGGTTCTTTTAATGTGCCCAATACATGTTCACACCCTTCACCTGGGTTCTCCAAAATTACCCCTTAGTCCTAAAGTAAAATAAGAGGGGCAGGAGATGCCACAGTCCCTGAACAACAAATGGAGGCACAGATTCCGTAAAGAATGAGGAAGATGAAGGTAGAGACATCTAGTAAAGAGTTATGGTAGCGGCTGCCTTCACCTACTACATTTTTCTTGTTGAATGAAAGTGATATTAAACGCTCATGTTTTTTTTTTTTAATCTCCACAGTAAAGCCATTTGTACTTCTTCTTTTTTTCCCCCCACACTGCTCATTTCTTAAAATTCTTAACATTTTT